ACACACACACACACACACACACACACACACACACACACACACACACACTCACACACAAAGATGCTCACACACACAATGATACACACGTGAATACTCATACAACCACACACAGAAACAGTTACAAAAAGACACACCGAAAGGCCTTTTCCTATAAAAAAAAAAAAGAAGGAAAAACCCAACGAAACTAAGAATTACTCACTCTTGACGTTGTAGGGCATCTTGCTGAGCCCGGACACAGACAGGTCAACGTCCATGGATTTGAAGGGCCTCATGAGAGACACAAAGCCGGTCAGCTGCACGTTCTCAGCTCCTGCACGTCTCAGCTCAACCATGGGGCTCAGCTGAAGCTTGCTCTTGGTTTTGTCAATCTTCACCTCACTGGTCAAGGAGTAGGTGTCGACGTCATCGATGACCACACTGCCGGTGAAGCTTTTCAGGTCATTGTTGTTGATGGTCACTCCTGTGGTAAGGATGTCATGTCATAATAAATTTAACACAGCCCACTACTGGATACCCCTCAAGCACATTACACTATTGAACAGTGAACATCCATGGAACATTCTTTAATAGATAAGTAGGTGTACATATTTTTAGGCTCCCTCTCACCACTGCCTTTTTCAGACAACCTTACCCCTTCTCTCTTCCCCCACATTTCCTCTTCTCGTTCTCTCTCCTATTTTTTCTTGCACCCCCCTCTCTCTATCTCTCTATCTCTCTATCTCTCTATCTCTCTCTATCTCTCTCTCTATCTCTCTATCTATCTATCTATCTATCTATCTATCTATCTATCTATCTATCTATCTATCTATCCATCTATCTATCTATCCACCCCGGCCCCACTCTTCTACATTTGTTTCTTTCCAAAGTGTACAACAAAGCAGTTTGAAGGAGTACACTTTCAACTTCCTCTTCCATGAAACCACTTGTTACTCATAACAGACTTTGCCAATCTCCATTACACAAAACAGCTTACCTCTGATAGTAGCCTTTTTCCAGGGGGTTCTCATGCTAGCGTCCAGAGACTGTTTGGGGTAGTCCACGTCAAGCTCCAGCATAATGGCACGGTCCACTCTTGAGCCCGGGGTGTTCAGAGAAATCTGGGCAATGCTGGATTTCTTGTTCTGGTGAAATGGTGAAATCGTATTGGTTTAACGCCTCTATCATAACTATTAGGTTATATAAGAGGTGGGACCTCCGAAAGGTCCAAGCCAGTCGGGAAATTCGAGTAAAGATCGAGCTGAGGTTCAAAACCCCGAACCCGCAATCTCACGATTACGGGTCCGGCAGCCTAACCGCTCGGCTACACATGTTCTGGGAAGAGTGCCAGTATTTTATGAGCCTGGGAAACCAACAGGATATTATTATTCTTTGCAGTGGAGGCAATCTCTACCCCCCCCCCCCCCCGCTACTGACTGAAGTGTCTTTAGGCCATTCCCATAGGAGGGATATTAACATGTTCTTACGCACAGTAGAATTGTAAATGGGCTGATGTATCAATGTCATGCTCATACTGTGCCGGAACAACATAGGGAGAACTGTTGCTTTTTCTTTCCCCATCCTTATTATTGTCATTTTCTTCTACTTCTTTTGTATGTTTGTCACTCTCTTGTGAAATGCTATTTCCAGGGTGCCTTGGTAGTCGAAGCAGACTTTGTGTTGTTGAGGCTAGAAAGGTGAGCAGAGTAAATCCGATTCCACGTTTGGATTCTCTTTTGACATCCACCCATTGGCGTTCTTATGACTTTATGCAGTTGCGAGCGCCGTAAAAGCTTACTAAAACCAGTAATCTTTACTCGAATGAAATGCCTTTTGTTTTTTGTTTGTTTTTTGTTCTTGTTGTTGCTAGTTTATTTCGTTCTTTATTTTGAAAGAGTCGTGGGATGGGTGGGTGTTGATGTGGTTGTAGATATTGTCGTTGGACATGCTTGTTTGGACAATGATGTCATGTAACGTGCTTTATTGTATTAAACTTTTAAAAGAGCATAATGAGCTTTATTGTATTAAACTTTAAACAGAAAATAATAATGATTTTTGTTGTATTAAACTTTAAAAAGAACACAACGAGCTTTATTGTATTAAACTTTAAAAATAACAATACGAAGGGCGTGTTTGCGTTCATCTTGAAGATAAGAGTATCCCTATGTACAAAGATGACATGAAATGTAGCTAGGCCATATCATAGTTTTGCGCGTCAACCTACCTCAACACGCTTGGCAAAGATCTTGTAGCCCTTGTGGGAGTCTCTCTTGTAGAGAGTCAGGGTGCCGGAGCTGGGTCCAGCCAGAGGGAAGTATGGGCCAGTGGGTGCCACGGAAGCGTTGGCGAAGCTCAGCTCTCCGCACAGCTCCACACCACTCAGTATGGACAACTGGTCGCCGGAGCATACTTTGAACTCTTTTCGGTTCTCCTTGATCATAGCCTGCTCTTGTTCCATGTCGTTGTGGAGGATGAAGAACTTGGACCTATGGGAATCACAAATGTGGGAGGTAAACGATACGTGAAGAGCTTTTCACATTTGTGAAGAACAATTCAAACTTGTGAAGAACAATTAAATTTGTGAAGAACTATTAAAATATGTTATTGACAGGTCCAAGAATATTGACCGAAAAGAAAGAGAAGAAAAAAGTGTTTCAAAATCTCATTCGGTCTTCATTTTATTATCACTTTCATCCAGGCTTTGAAATATGAAGAAGCATGTGAGAAATTCCCGAAAATACGTTGCTTTTACGAGCATATGTGTTGAATACCTGGCGCTGAAGATTTCCATCTTGTCCTCTGGGGTGTCAAGCTCCACGTTGAGCCGTTGGCCTCTTTCCAGCTGGACACGGCCCTTCAGGGCGGTGCTGGTGTGCAGAGTATTGCGCATGCGCAGTCCTGTCCTGGTCACCATGGCGTCGACAGACATAGTTCCGGTGATCTCAACAGCAGCGCTACAGAAAGTGAAACGTATAGTGTTTAACAGTCATGAGATCTGTGGTACAGAGACATGCTCTCTGGTGAACATAATAGTAACAATAATAAATAATAATAATAATATAATATAATATAATAATAATAATAATAATAATAATAATAATAATAATGGTGGTGATAATAATAGACACCTTTTAACACATCCATAAAATTATCAGTGGTCTTTTCTTTCGAAAGTTATAATTAGTTTTCAACAGAGATATACATAAAGAGCTAAATTTATATGCCGCACATTTGTCTTCAAAATGAATTATTGCCAGTCGTAAATGTTGCAACAGCAACAAGAGCTCAGCCTCTAATATTTAAATTATAATGACTGCAATACTTTTTCTATTAATTCTCATTGGCATTGATACATTTTGAACGACTATAACTTCTTACACAAAAAGAGTGAAGAGCTCGACTTATTACTTCACTACCTTAGAAATACAAAGTTCTATCTGACATTTTTGGACGTTTTGAGAAACTAAGAATACCATGAGGTCAGAAACTAAATGTTCTATCTGCTTTATCAAAATCGTAAGATTATTCTGTGTCGTTGTCAAGACATTCAAAGAACTGCATTCGGAAAAGCTTGGCATGTAGAGCAGCTCATAAATTTTGACGTCAAATTTCTCAAAACTAGGTACTGAGCCGATAGAACATCGTAATTCTAGGGTTTAGAGTCCTTCTTAGTATGACTTGATGACTTCGTAAAGGGAGGCGACTTACCTTCGTAGGATTCCAGGTGGTACTGCAACACTGCTTTTACCTCGTATTCTGGGTTTTTCAATTTATTTCTTGCATATTTCTAGTGGTGCTTTGGCTTACTATGTCTTGAAATGCAAAACTGACAATAATTATTTGCTCTCAGGGTATGGCTAACCCCATTTACCAGGAATAACTAAACACGTTATGGTTACCGCTTGAATTTCTTATCCTCTGGCATGTCTTTCTTAGTATGAACTGAAGAATTCATAACTTTGGTAGGCGACTTACCTTGGTCGGATTTCTCCATCGATGTCCAGGGAGCGGGGAGAGGAGCCCAGTTTGCGGAGGTCCATCTTTCCATTGAGGACCAGGTCTAGAGTGCCGGTTCCGTTTACGTCGATGTGGATGGGCAGACCGGCCATTGTGGGGATGGTCATGCTGGGGACGGACACCGGGGGGATCAGAAAGATGACGTCAAACGTTCACGAAGATTTGTTTCCCTCAAAAGATGTACATATTTTCGCGATCCAGATTGTAAGTAATGAAAAGACGACAAATTGATTAAAAATCTAAAACAAATTTGCCAGAATATAACAGCTTAACTTTGAAATCCTAGTCAACTAAAATCTAATAAATGATCTGAAATATCCTTGGGACGGTAAGTACAGTGTGAAGTCACATAGTTATTGTTAATGCTATTATTATTGTTGTCGGAATCAGATTCAATGACAAAGAATTAAAAAAAAAAAAAGAAGGACGCAGTTACTTGATAATCTGCGTTGAGTCTGAGCTCATAAGAAAGCTGGCCGAAGAACGCCAAAAACCGTTAGTTTTCCGAGTATTGTGTTTACCTGACGTCCATGAACTGGGCGGACTGGGTCAGGGTGTAGTCCTGCTTCTTGGACAGCTGGATAAGAACGTCGAGCCAGCTGGAGGGAAGGTTCTTGAAGGGGGAGGTCATTGTCTTGCTGTGCATGAAGAACATCTCGTTGCCGAAGAATCGGCCGTAGATTGAGCCTTCCACATCTTCTGCTTTCCCGGGGCTCTGAGAATTATTTTTAAAGAACGTGGTTAGATGTGACATAATGTTTTGAGACTAATTCATTTTTTACCGTCCTGGGAAATAGGAAAAGGACCACGTTTATTGAACGGACTGAAAATGCGGTTCTCGTAGAGCATAAAGCTACTTGTTTGTTGTTGTTGTTGTTGTTGTTGTTGTTGCTGTTGTTATTTTAGAAGAAACATCAAGATTTCATGAGGCAGGATAATTAAGTGTTATAAACAACTCTACTTATACCATGTAGTCTGGGTTTTTAGATTTATTACTTCTGCAGATTTGTAGCAATGATATGATACTTTGCCCATGACGTCATAAAACTCAAAACTGCCAACAATTAATTGCTCCCAGGGTATAGCTTACCCTTATGAATCTTGAATACCAGTACTAATCATCATACCTTGAATTTATTATCCTCTGGCATGTAGGGTCCGAAAAGATTCTTCATGAGGTACTCCAATCCCTCAAGACGAGCGCCAAAGTCCACCATGTTGATGGCTTGACCAAACAGGTCAATTGTCAGATTACCGGAGACAGACCTGGGCATCTGGGAGACGCTGGACCAGATAAGGTTGCTCTCAGCTGTGAATCCTGAGTTGAGCTTGTTGATGAGTGTGGAAGCCTCGAAGTTTCGGGAAAACTTGAGGATGCTCAGTTCGAATTCCTTGTCCAGTGCCAGGCTGAAGGATAGAAAAGAGGCGGGAAATGAAGTGACAGTTAAGTGTTTACCACTACCGTAGCAGAGACAGAATATCTAGGCTAATACAGAACGTCTGGGATCAGTGTGGTGCACTGTTTGCCTGGAGATACCCGTACCCCTCCCCCCCCTTTTTTTTGGAACCCATCAAATGAACATAAGAAGATGTACTCAGCGTACAAACAATTAAGCAATGCTGCACCATTGCTTGACTTTATTGGGGCTCAGTTCTTTCAGTTCTTTATAAACATTAATAATGTGATATTATGGTCATTTTTTATAGGAATTTTCCTTATAGTATTTACACGCTTCCAGCTAGACATACATTCTTGACAGGTGAAAATGTGGAGCGGGTCAAAGCTATAACGCAAAATGACTTTAAAACGTTCCTTATTCTTTTTCTTTCTTTCTTTCTTTCTTTCTTTCTTTTGTTCTACTTTCTTTCTTTTTTGTCTTTAGAACGTTTTTGTTTTTCAATGTTGCCAAGCCGATACACCGATTCGTGTCCAGCATCACAAGACCATCAATGCATGTCAGTCAAACAAACGAGACCGTTTCTTGTTTTGGTAAGTGTTTTACGGCGCTTGCACAACTGCTTAAGGTCAAACTATGAGCGCGCTAGGCCGTCTCTACCAGTAACTCACTTCTGCACAGCACGGGCGACGTCTTGCTTGTGGGGGTCGGAGGTATCTCTCAGATTGGTCAGGTGGCTGTAGACAAAGGCTCCGACCTGGTCATCTTCCTCGTTCTTCAGACTGGCGGCCATCTTGCCCAGAATGGCGTCGGTGGGACAGCGCATCAGAGACAGATAAGCAGCTACTCGGAGCTCAGAGTCGAGGTCACCGTTCTCGTAAGTGTTCCACAGCTCATCACTCTAATGACCAAAAAAAAAAATAATAAAAAAATTAACGTAGAAATAACTTACGTGAAAGTAACAAACAAATGGTAATCTGCAACACACTTGAAAACTACCCGTGGCAGCCTGCGACACACATAGAAATAAATGACAATCTGCAGACCTCGTGAAATTTACAAATTACTGTAATTTGCAACACAACCCACGTGAAAAGAGAATAGAATATAAATGGTGGTCAGTAAGGCTTTGGACATGTATTCTTGTCACAAATAATTTACTGCATAATGCAAGTCACACTACACAGAACACTAACCGTGCATCAAATAGACCAGGCAAGCTTATGAAAGACAGCGAACACTATTGTGTGATAGACTCACAGAAAATAAATTCAAACACACACTACCATTAACTAGACAGGCATACAGCAAATTCAGAGACCACCACATAATAATAATAATAGATAATAGATAGCATTTGTATAGCGCAAATCCCCGCTCAACAGCAGGCTCTATGCGCTTTACACTATATTATTACCCCAGCAGACCATAGAACACTCCGAAACATTTTCAACTTCCCGGGAAGCATACAGTGCAAGCAGCTGATTAAGCGCTCAAACACTAACATACTGACAAGATCTTTCGCTGTCTATAGCCGGGTACCCATTCCCACCTGGGTGAAGTGAGGAAAATTCGTGTAAAGTGCCTTTCCCAAGGACACAACGTCGGGTCCCTGACGGGATTCGAACCCACGACCTTACGGTTGCGAGTCCGAGAGCCTAACCACTAGGCCACCGACATAGATATAACGAAGAAAAGAAGTACAGATAGAGAGTGAAAGAGAGAGAGAGAGAGAGAGAGAGAGAGAGAGAGAGAGAGAGAGAGAGCGAGCGAGGAGTGAGGGAGAGAGAGAGAGAGAGAGATAGAGAGAGAGAGAGAGAGAGAGAGAGAGAGAGAGAGAGAGAGAGCGAGAGAGAGAGAGAGAGATAAAGAAAGAAAGACAGAAATAAAGTAAAAAATAAAGATAGATAGAAAAAAAGAAAGAAAGAGTACCATTAACCAGACATTATATAACAAGTACACCAAGCAACAGCAAAACAACCACAAACTATAACAATACACATGCAATGTTATTTCCCATAAGTCAAAAGGGCGTATCCCTTACAGGGGCGTCACAAGGCATCCTCCTGAAGGCTTCAGCAGCTGCCACACGGATCTCCAGAGGACCGGAAGTGGCGCTCAGACATTTGTTGATGACGTTTACGGCTCTCGTGGCGTGACCGGCGTTTCCGATGGCTCTCAGTGACAGGAGGACCTGGAGAGGGGAGAAAGAAAACTTTGAAGGGGAGAAAGAAAACTTTGAGGGGGAGAAAGAAGACTTTGGAGGGAGAGAAAGAAGACCTTGATGGTGAGAAAGAAATCTTTGAAGGAAGAGAAGGAAGACTTTGAAGATGAGAAAAAAACTTTGAGGGGGGGGGGGGGGGGCAGAAAGAAAACTTTGAGGGGGGGGGGGAGAAAACTTTGAAGGGAGAGAGAGAAGACTTTGAAAGTGAGAAATAAAACTTTGAGGGAGAGGGAGAGAAAGAAAAACTTTGAAGAGTAAATTGAATGGCAGGTCTATCATCTGAGGTGTTGTATTTTATACCGGGCCTTTACCCCCCCCCCCTTCCCCCCACCCTCAACAACAAAAATAGGAAGAGGAAAGTAAAGGACGTGTCTAAACCATCATCTGGGGTGTTGTGTGTCATTGTTATAGCAGGAAGGTGATGGGCGATTCCTAAGAATTGGAAAGGAAAGTAAAGGACGTTTATATTATAATTTAGTGAATCTGTTCCTGTGTGTGCCCCCCCCCCTCCCCAATAACAGCGTCTAAGAAGCCGAATCCTGACAATGCCGATAAGGATTATAGACGAAAACTCCATATTTCACAGTGTAGAGAAATCAAGAAAAGATTGACAAAAGAATCAGCCTCACAAATAAGAAACTAAAAAAAAATGATATTGATGTTCCAACCTTCTCAAAGTTCTTCCCAGAAGCGTCGCAGTAGTAGCCAATGTTCCTCTCGAGGGAGGCCATGACGCTGAGCACGGCATAGTCCTTGTCGCACGACGTCATCTTCCTGCAGTAGTTGTTTACCAGGGAGGAGACAGGCAGGAGGGACTCTTCTCTCGTCATCTCAGTGTCCACCAGAGTCTGGGGAGGAGGGTAGGGTGGGGGTGGGGGGAGGGGGCAGAATACAGTCATGTCTGTGAGTTACTTTGTTCATACAGAGGAGTATTCGGCAAGCTGAAGAACATGAGTAGAAATCAAGCCCACCTAAGCTAAATAAAATAGTATTTAAATTACGCAAATTTTCACCCTAGCAGACCTGATAGCATTCTGAAACAATTTCAATTCCCCAGGAAACTTACAGTCTTTTAGTAATCATGATAAATTGAATCTGGACAGCGCAAATTCCCGCGCAACAGCAAGGTATGCGCACTTTACAATTCATAATATTAATAATACCCCAGCAGACATGATATAATTCTAAAACAATCTCAACTTCATGGGAAGCAATCAGTGCAAGCCGAACATAGAAGAAACTGTCGGTGGTTAGGAATTGTTACCAGAAAATGTTTCTGAGTTAGATTATTCGTACTCTTTTCCTCTTCTACTACTCATAAAGAATCATAAGATATAAACTTGGTGTTTGGGATTCTCGAACAACACTAAAATAGAAACAAACTGTGGATGGTTGGGAATGGTTACCAGAAAATGTTTCTGAGTTAGATTACTCGTGTGCAGAGAGTATGGTCTACCTTAGCAATGAGAAGCATATCAGATGTCGGGGCTTGAACGAAACCCAAAGAAGCGATCCAGGCCTGAGCCAGAACACCCTTCACATCCTTGTCGGTGATCAGTGTCGTCATCAGTTTCACGGAGGCCTCGGTGGAAGTCAGGGGCAGAGCATCCAAGAAGAATTTGCTGAGGGACGCAGAAGGAGTTCTTTGATTAAACAAGTTGTCTTGAATATTAAAAAAAAAGATATTCACTGGCAATAGATTTTCCAAAGTTCCCTATTCAATCAGCTCACAAATTAAAACATTCACAAAAGCTGTTGTTGGGACAATAGAGAGTATCTACTGATAAGTAATATCTACAATAATGCAGAGCAATATTCTTATATTGTACGTAATATAACCCAACACTGCACAACTACAGTAAGTATTATTCTTTTTGAGAGGTGCAGGGAATGTTACTTGTGAGCACTGAATACCATACCTCGATATCAACCCACTTCCGAGTTCTTTGAAACTAAGGAGTTCTCTACGGGAATGTGAGAGTTTACTACCACGCGGCTTGTTGTATGCACAATCAGTTAAACTGCTCTTTCTCGAAGCCAGGGTATTCCCAAAACTTACTAAGTCTTCTCGTTCTCAGGGCAGAAAGATTTGGTCTTGAGCATCTTATGCACATCCTCCATATCCTGCTGGGAGAGAGAGCGCATGGCACTGACCAGCTCAGAGAACTGGCGAGGGGACTCTGCTCTGACGTCACTCCTGGTGGTAGTACAGATCACACGAAGGTGCTTCTCCACCTCAGCACGGGCCGTCCTGGGGTCTGGCAAACCAACGGAGTGGCCAAAGACCAGGGTGTCCCTACTTTTGATCATGGCTGGTAGATAGATATACAATACAATGACATGTTAAATAGTACACGCCGTGCTTTAGAAAACGCTAATCAAAGTTTCTTTCTACTGTGCACTCATCCCTCGATTCTAGAACTGGGATCATCAGAGGCTGATTCTCTCCGTAACTTATGATATATCATGAAATGTTTTGTAATACCTTCTATGCCAAATGGTCGGGCGTTTTGCAAGCTAAATATTTTGACTTGTTCAAAGTAGTATCAAATGTAAATCCCTAAATCAGCTATGTAAATAATTTTTAACAATAACTTAAAAATAACGTATTTCAGAAACTCTTTTTCAAATGGTGGTTCGCTTTACATGTCACTAGATATACATGTATGTATCATGAAGAGATTAGATCTGTAGGTTTAATTGGAAAGTTAAGACATCGGAGTTAAACTTTAAAATATGCGTCATCTACTTTCACAAAAGAGTTTGATATTTTAGTGTGTGTGTGTGTGTGTGTGTGTGTGTGTGTGTGTGTGTGTGTGTGTGTGTGTGTGTGTGTGTGTGTGTGTATGTGTGCGTATGTGTGTGAAGTTTAAAAACCATTATTTTCCCTGTGCCATTACCTGGACGGGGCCTGCCGGCAGACTGTGAGGTCCTGTAGGTCAAGGTCTGCTTGACCTCGGTCATCCCACCACTGTTTCCGTCGGCGAAAGGCCTGTAGACGTGGATCTCAGTGCACGTGCTGGACTTGAGAACTCCGGCCTTCTGGATGTCCTGCTCACACTCTTGTGTGGTCTTCATGATCGGGAGGGACTGAATCTCCTGTGAGAGGAGAGACAATAGAAAGTAAGTTATTAGTTTACTTAGTGTTTAAGGCCACTGGCCTGCATCCCATCACATCATATCACATCACATCACATCACATCACATCACATCACATCACATCACATCACATCACATCACAACACATCACATCACATCACATCACATCCCATCATATCATATCACATCACATCATATCACATCATATCGCATCAGATCAGATCACATCCCATCACATCACATCACATCACATCACATCACATCACATCACATCACATCACATCACA